TTTTTTGCTGAAAATTGTTATTTGGGACAGAAAAAGGCTTTTGAAAAATGGAGAAGATTGCCGCTACATACCAGAAGCAGATCATGGATATGCTTGAACGAGGTGTTGCTAAACAGTTGACTAAAAACGACATGAACTACGACGGACCTTTTCACTACATAAGTCATCATGAGGTTCTCAAAGAATCGGTTTTAATCCCATGTCGCTTTTTTTCAATTCTTCGGCAAACTTTAAGGGTCGTGTTTCGAATGACCATTGGGCTAAAGGCCCCAAACTTTTGAATAATCTGCTAGGTATTCTGTTAAAATTTCGACAAAATCTTTTGGTTACATGGATGATATCATAAATAGCGTCGAGTCAGAGAAAACGTAGCTTATCAAAGAATGGAAGAAATAGAGGAAATGCTTTTAAAAGGATCGTTCAAAATAAGATACCCCTCTTTTGAAACCCCTCCCAATGATAGTACTCGTGAATTTGCGGCCATATGTAGGCTTTTGAACACAAGCAAAGAAGCTTTTTTGCAAAAAAAGTGCCATTTGATCTTTGTAGTAGGTTCGCGCGTGAAAATGTTTTGTGTATTTGGTATTCGGCTGGTACCGTTTCGTTTTCCTTAGTTTTTAATTCAGTCGCGCAAAACTGCGTCTGCCTAGCAAACGTGTAGCCATCAGGATGGAAACCTTAGATGGTCTTTCAAAAGTGCAATTAAACTTGTATTCTTTAGATCATGGGGACGGTAAGGGCAACACGCTTTCTCTGCATGCATATGGTGCTAGTCGCATCTCGAATAACTCCGTTAACTTAAAGCGCAATCATGATATTTTTCCAGAGGTATTTCCTATAGATTACGGATTTTCAGGCGCAGCATCGGTTTTATTAGGGCTTAAAATTGCACGATACTACCCTGATGCCATACAGTATAAAGCTGACTTGGTGTTAATGAAATTGCTTTTGGAAGCTGTATTGGAGGTACTGCAGTATAAAGATGACTTGGTTTAAACGAAAAATGCGTTTGGAAGATGTATTGGAGGCACTGTTCAGAGAGTTATGAATTGTGCGTGCATTCATAAAGTCAATTTTGCTAATTGTGAAGTCAGATTGAGTAATTTTTACGAAATTGAATGTTTGGGTGTGAACTGCAATTCTCAATGTGGAAACTGTTGTCGTGGAAATTGTGCCATTGGTACTTCTAATTTTTCGATTCGAGAACAAAAGGAACTTGGATTGATAAATTCTGGTGTGATAAATTTTTGGAGTGCTGCTAATCCATGGATCAAAGACAAGACAAACCTTCCTAACAACAGATTTTTTGCTGAAAAATGTTATTTGGGACAGAAAAAGGCTTTTAGAAAATGAAAAGAATGCCGCTAGATACCAGAAGGAGATCATAGATATGGTTGAACGATGTGTTGCTAAACAGTTGACAAAAGACGGCATGAACTACGACGGACCTGTTCACTACATAATTCATCATGGGGCTCTCAAAGAATCAGCTTTCATCCCATGTCGCTTTTTTTCAATTCTTCGCCAAACTTTAAGGGTCGTGTTTTGAATGACTATTGGGTTAAAGGCCCCGAACTTTTGAATAACCTGCTGGGTATTCTGTTAAAATTTCGAGGAAATATTTTAGTTACATGGATGATAACTTAAATAGCGTCGAGTCAGAGAAAACGTAGCTAATCAAAGAATGGAAGAAATAGATGAAATGCTTTTAAAAGGATCGTTCAAAATAAGATAAACCACTCTTTTGAAACCCCTCCCAATGATAGTACTCGTGAATTTGCGGCCAAATGTAGACTACTGAACACTAGCAAAGAAGCTTTTCTGCAAAAAAATGCCAATTGATCTTTGTAGTAGGTTCGCGCGTGAAAATGTTTGTATTTGGGATTCGTCTGCTACCGTTTCGTTTTACTTAGTTCGAAATTCAGTGGCGCAAAACTGCGTCTGCCTAGCAAACGTGTAACCATCAGGATGGAAACCTTAGATCGTCTTCCAAATGTGCAAATAAAGTTGTATTCTTTAGATCATGAGGACGGTAAGGGCATCACGCTTTCTCTGCATGCATATGGTGCCAGTCGCATCTCGAATAACTCCGTTGACTTAAAGCGCAATCATGATATTTTTCCAGACGTATTTCCTATAGATTATGGATTTTCAGGCATAGCATCGGTTTTGGAAGATGTTTTGTAGGTACTGCAGTATAAAGCTGACATGGTGTAAATGAAAAATGCGTTTGGAAGATGTATTGGAGGTACTGTTCAGGGAGCTATGAATTGTTCGTGCATCCAGAAAGTCAATTTTGCTAATTGTTAAGTCAGATTGAATAATTTTTACGAAATTGAGTGTTTGGGAGTGAACTGCAAGTCTTAATGTGGAAACTGCTGTCGCGGAAATTGTGCCATCGGTACTTCTAATTTTTCGTTTCGAGAACAAAAGTAACTCGAGTTGATAGATTCTGGTGTGGCTCTCAACGATTATTTTTGGACTGCTGCTAATCCATGGTTCAAAGACAAGACAAACCTGCCTAACAACAGATTTTTTTTGCTGAAAAATGTTATTTGGGACAGAAAAAGGCTTTTGAAAAATGAGAAGAATGCCGCTACATACCAGAAGCAGATCATGGATATGGTTGAACAAGGTGTTGCTAAACAGTTGACTAAAGACGACATGAACTACGACTGACCTATTCACGACACAAGTCTTCATGAGGTTCTCAAAGAATCAGCTTCCATCCCATGTCGCTTTTTTCAATTCTTTGGCAAACTTTAAGGGTCGTGTTTTGAATGACTATTGGTCTAAAGCCCCGACCTTTTGAGTAACCTGCTAGGTATTCTGTTACAATTTCGAGGAAAATTTATGGTTACATGGATGATATCTTAGATAGCGTCGAGTCAGAGAAAACGTAGCTAATCAAAGAATGAAAGAAGTAGAAAAAATGCTTTTAAAAGGATTGTTCAAAATAAGAAACTAGGTTCTTTCGGATAACCAGGACGTAGAACTTGAAATAACAAATAATGGTTGTGAACAAACCGCCATTCCAAATGTAGCCTGTTCATTGTAAATGTGTTATTGATTTAGAGTTGCCGGAGCTGCCAAAAACTACAGGTTTCTTGTCAAAAACGAGAGCTATGGCTTTCATTTTTATTGATTGTAGTCATTTCAGTATCAATTTTGAAAAGAATAGTAGCACATCTCTCAACATTGAAAGAAACGCACTCACTCTATTTAATGCGACGCGAATCGGATGCTAAAATGATCGATAGATTGTGGAAAAACCTTCTTTTCCATCAATACAGAGATTCCTAAAGAGTGTTAAAATGAGAAATTCCGGAGCCTCGTTAATGTTGAGAACAGCGACAAAATTATTGTGGTTGGACAGCGTATTACTGAGCCTGTTCCACTTCTGCGCAAATCTACGCTAACTGATTTGAGTGTTCGAGAACTTCCCGAGCCGAGTCATCTGGCCAAATTGTCTACAGCAAGCAAATTACGTACACATTACTGGATTATTGATTTATTGCATATTTGTAAACATCATATACATAAGTGTGTAAAGTGCAGATTATTGAACAAGAGGAACGCAAATGAGTTTTATAGAAGTCATCAACTGGAGTCATCCCTACTTTTCACGAATGTATGCATAGATCTTTTTCAGCCGTACGAAGTTAAATGGGGCTTAAAGACGTTGAAAAAGATTTTTAGTTGAATCATAGCGTGTCTATTTTTAAGAGCAGTCTTTCTAGATTTTACGGAAGATTGTTGTGCTGACAAGCTGGTACTTCCTTTGAGGCGTTTTATTGCCTTGCGAGGCTGCCCTGAAATTATTTATTCTGACCAATAGTCGGCGTTAACAATTTAATACAGAAAAATCTTGCACTTCTGAAAAGTACATTAAGAAGTCTATTGGGTCTAGAAGATTTACGATGGGAATTTTCACCAGGTGGAGCTCCATGGCAATAGGCGTGCGCTGAAAAGGTAAGTACTTCAGGTAAAAAATGCCTGACAATATCTATCGGCAAACAAGTGCTGTCAATTACTGTGTTTCAAACTGTTCTGTTTGAGGCTGCTTATCTGCTTAACGAGATGCCAATCGGACGCAATCCCACTCATCCTTATGATGGTTCCTTTCTATATCCAAACAATTTATTGTTGGGGAGAAGTTCTAATGGGTACTCTCCTTTCATTAGTTCGTCTAACCACGAGTCAGCGAGGCATAATTTAGTTGAAAACGTTTTAGATGCGTTCTGGATAAAGTGGCAGAACAAATATTTGCCATGAATGGCGTTCTATAAGCGTCGGAAAAGAACTCAACGCATTATCAAAAAGGTCAATGTTTTGGTGGAAGATTCTAATTCAATCAGGGGTTTATGGAAATACTATAATTAAAGATGTTGCTCGAGGAAGAGACGGTTTGATAAAAGATGTCGAAGTGAAAATGGCATGATGGTTCAATTTATGTCGTATCTCGACCAGTACAAAAACTGGTTTCTGTGCTTCCAGTTGAAGAAAGTGGAGTGTGCCGTTGGGCAAAAGCATTAATAGTTAAACGTATAACAATTAAAACAGTGTATCAATTAGGCAATGTACATCAACCAAGTCTTCAACAAAGTTGATGCTTTTTTCTTGTGAGTTTTGTGTGATGGGCTTCATAACACTGGTGTAAAATTGTACTACAGCTCTTTTGGGTTTCTGATTGAAAATATTGTTTGAAACTGAAATCACATGTGATTAAGAAGCAAAGATTATTAATTTTCAGCAGTAGAAACCGCGTTAAGCTAATGTTATTTGAACTTTTGTTGATCAATTTTACGAAAGTAATTATGTCAATTTTTGCTTAATAGAACCAAGTGATTCTGCATTAAAAGTTTTGGGAAATACATTGGTTCAAGAAGTGCATTAGCATCGGGCGAAATAGCTATTTTTACACCCCAAAATCAGCATCAAAATGTTCCAATTTTCGTATGTAGTGTTTCAAAGTTTATCAGATATGTGACTTATTGCAGCTACCTGTCTGACCTATCCAAAGAGAAAGAGCTGCCAACGTTCAAGTACTTGGAAGTAAATGGCATGAAACTAACAGCTCCGCAGCAGGTTTACTCGGAGATTTGGCATCAACTCAAGTGTGTTTATATTGGAGCGGATGCCGCCCTGGCGTCTTTGGAAGAAACTTTTCTCCGAGAACATTCATTTAACCGAGAGCCTGTTGTTTTACTTGTAGACGAATTGGATTTACTGCTGACTAGCAAGCAGGATATTTTGTACAACTTGTTCGAGTGGCCATCGAGTAAAGCTAAGTCGAAATTGATTGTGGTGTGTATTGCGAACACAATGGATCTGCCCGAGAGAGTGATGATGAAACGAGTGTCGAGCAGACTCGGAATGAGCAGAGTCGTTTTCCAACCATACACACACGGGCAGCTAAAGGTAACTGTGAAATGGCTGTCTTCATGCACTGTATATTGCTACGCCAAACCCCCCCCCCCTCCCCCATCAATTATGTGAGACAGAATCAAAGGCCTGATTGAGTTAGTTCTAATTGCGCACATTGAAAAGATGTCATTCAATGCTGGAATTTATTTTTGAGGCTTCTATCATTAAATTAAAGCAAACTAAGAAGACTGGCCAAAATAAAAATTATATATTTAAGAAAGATAAATTGATTAATTTGATTGCAGCAAATTATCTCATCGCGAGTTCAATCCAGCGGAGTGTTCACAGAGAGTGCAATTGAATTTGCGGCCAGAAAAATGTCAGCCTTGTCTGGAGATGCGAGGAGATCCCTGGATATATGTAGAAGAGCGACCGAACTGGCCCAGAGTAGCAACCAAAAACTTGTGAATATCAATAACATAACAGATGCCTTCAACGAAATGTTCTCATCTAAGAAGTTGCAGGCTCTCAAAAAGTGTAACATGCATGAGAAGTTTCTTCTAAAAGCAATTGTGAGCGAGTTTCGGAAGTGTGGTCTGGAAGAAGCGCAGATGGTCAATGTTTACACGCAGTACCGTACAGTTTGTAATTTAGAAGGACAAATACCTGTGGAACCGACGGTTTTGATCAGACTGGCGGGAAAGTTGAACGCGATGAAGTTGATTGTGTTTTCAGGAAGCAAATACGGACTGGCACAAAAAGTTATTCTTGGCGTTTCCGTTGATGACGTGAATTTTGCACTTGCGAAAGAATAAAGAGAAAACAATTTATATGAAGCGTAATTCAGTTATTGATATTGACGCGATGTTACGCGATGAACTTAGATGATTCATATTGTTCTGTAAAACCTTGTTTTAAACCCATTTTGATTTTTGAATTTTATTTAATTGATTCCGTTTCGGTTTAATGATGGAGGGTTAGAGTGGTGGAAAACTTTGAACCAATCAGAATCGTTAGAGGTTCCTATTGAACAAACGCTCAATTTTTTTTCATTAAAACCGAAGTTATTTTTAACAGAAAATGAATTATAACAACAGAGCAAAGTTTTGATATACAATTCGTGCAGATATAGAATAATGTTTTTTTGTTTTGTTTTGTAGTAATGCGTTTTAAGTTTTTCCAATACTTACTTCGATTTCGCAGTATCTGAACAACGTATCTGCTTACTTTCGGTGAATTTTAATTTAAATGGCCTGGGTTTATTCGCTTTATTTGAGGTTTTCGCGATTTCTTTGAGAGTTTTTAATACTCAATTCTGATTGGCTGAAAATAAATTTCAACCTTCGGTCCCTCCATCATGAAAGAGCCGCCGATGCACTAAATGTCCACAATCAGCGTATTCCAAGATCAGATGGAGCATATACAAAACAGTCCCATACAAAAGAGTCCGAAACATCAAAAAAGGTTCTAAAAACAGTCCCATACAAAACAGTCCAAAACCAGTTGAATTTCTTGGCCTTGATCTTTTGGCTCCGACAGAATTGATCTACGCTTTGAAAACTCAAATAGGAGCAATTAAACATCAAAGAGCCAAAGTTGGAACAATAATTCGGATGAAAATCAAAGGACTTATGGTATAGTGGTTAAAGCGTTAGTCTCAAACTATTGAGATCAAAGGATCGAACCTCCGGTGGCCAAAAAATTTTCCAATTTTCGAAAAAAGTTGAAATTCGGGTAAATATGATAACGGGTATATGTAGGGTACAACAAAGGGTTCAACCTTAGAGGGTTGAGCGGAGGGAAAAGAAAAATCAACACCTTGTATGTATTCATTATTTCGCCGATTTCAAATCGACTCTAGCTCAATTTTGAAAAACCAAGGAAATTAATTAACTTGGAAAAGTTTTATTGCTTGGCAATATGGAATAAATGTGAAAAATAAAAAAAAAGAAAAATCTGATTATAATTTAAAATTACAACTACATCCTTTCAAAAACCCAATGATATCGTTGGGTTGATATGACTTAATCATAGTGATCAAGTTTGTGTCGAGTTTTTGGTATTTAGCTTTTTTGAGTCTGGCTACTTTTTGTCCTGCGCACATTTTTTCCAACAGTATTTCCGCATTTTTTTGCTCGTCCTGGAACTTCTCGATCAGTTTTGGGAATGATGGATGCTTACTATTGACCAGTTTCACGAAATTGCTGCTCCAACCTTCTACAGCGTTGTTGGTGCGGGGAAGGTCGTTTTTTACTCTTTCATGGCAACTCCATTGCTCCATATCAAATCTGGGCTTCTGTCGTCCTTGAGAAGTCAGTCTACCAATATATGTGTCCTCGAAATAATTGAAAATCGGTTGACTTTCTTCAGATGCCATACCTTGCAGAAGCTCGAAAGCTGCGGGGACGTCCTCTACGGGCAGAAATGCTGTTGCGAGAAGCATTCGAATAAGTTCGCGAAAATTAAGGTCACTGTTGTAATTGTGAGTATTGCCTGACGACTGAACATGTCGCCAGACACTTTGACTCAAATGGAAAAAACAAAACTGAATTTGAGCAATCTATTGTTATCCGAATTAGTTGGAATCAAAATGTGTTTAATATGAGATAAATTTACTTATCAGCTTCTAGAACAATTATCACTTCGATCAATGGGACTGTTTTTCGACTGTTTTGTATGGGACTGTTTTTTTGTACTTTGCTATGTTTTTTCGGACTGTTTTGTTTTGAACTGTTTTGTATGGGACTGTTTTGTACAGACACGGGACAGATACGAACTAACTGCATCTTTAACTAGGATCAAACATTTTGCCGCCGCTAATTGCGTATTCGAGCTTGCGCAATAAAAGTTTATAAAAATGCAATTAATCAAGAAATGCTTTTGGTCATGCCTGAAGAGCCAACCGGCCATTTTTCAGCGAGTGGGGAACTTGATATGCCATTCTTACAATGCTTAACTAATTAAATTTTCTTGAGACACGCAAAATGGTGTAACAAAATGTGGTCTGCGAATGACAGCTCCTTTCTATAGGTGTCAACAAACGTATTGAAGACGTTAGACACACTGCTGGGGGTACGTATTTTAGCAGACCGGTTTTGCAGCATATCACTCTTTTAGCAGACCGGTTTTGCAGCATATCACTCTTTTAGCTCTCTTTTAGACAGAAAGCTAACTTCAAACGCGGCATTGGCGATTATCGTCCGCTTGCTCTGCTGAGCTTCCATTCAACACCAGTGTTATTGTCTGCGCAAAGACTGATGTGTTTTTGAAGTTGATAATTTTTTTGACAAATTGTGAGATAATTGTGTGAATTGGGGAAGCTTGATCCCAGATTGAGCGCCATTTTGAGTCTGTCAATCAATCATGTATCATTTTATTACGCTGGTTTGCTAAAAGACTCAGTTTTATTGGCGGATCCAATTTTAATTGCATTCCAAATTTAATTAAGGCAGGTCATTTTTTTGGGATACGAGACGCTAAATATATCCCTCTTGAGTTTTTATTAGTATGTATGAAGATTTTTTTTTCAATTAGTGCGTCAATTTTCTAAACTTTTTATTTGGCCTTCAATTGCTCTCAAAACATTCAAAGCATGGCCTTAATATACGAGCAGTGTTTTTGTTTCGACTGTCGAAGAAACGCGGAAAATGTATGTTTGATGGGGTGGTTTTGTCATTCAATGAAATTTCGACAATCGAAATCATAGTTTTCTTCAAGTTTTTTGATACCAAATTAAAGATATTGACTCCCTGAGTTCAAATGTGAAAAGAAAGTTCATTTTTGATTATATTTTTAAAGCGTCGGTGGTTTGAAAATTGACATTTATGCCATTTTCTGTTCTAATTTATGCGCGCTGTGAAGATTTTATTTATGATGCTGAAAGCTCAATGAGTTTTGTATATGTTAGATGAAATATCCCGCACCATAAAATTGTGGTGATATATAAAGAAGCCGAAACTACGTAAGTGTTATATAACAGATATGTAAAAATTATGTAACAGTTACGCAAGTTATGCAAATTCATTCATATGATGTAATTTTTCGGCTGGCTTATATACTCCGCGCATTTTCGGTTGTTTTTTTTTCGGCTGGTTTATTTATTCTCAAAATTGTTCCAAACTGAATCGAAGAAAATTAATTGGTGAATAATTTCATAATACTCATTTTTTGACACTTGTTTTTAAATTTTGTCTAAATTTTGTTTTTTTTTTTCAAATTTTTTCCATTATTCGATTCCAATTATGCGGCAGTCGGATTATTCAGGGCTTTGCTCTGATATATGAGTAGTGTTGTTTTTACATCAAGATGGTTGCGGTTTGGATAATCTCCTCTCAGACTTAAGCAACGAGTAAATGCGTTTCACGTTGCGGCCTCGAATGTTGGCTGAATGATCGACGGGAGGAAAGGCAACCACTACACCACCGAGCTTACGCAATGTATGTTAACATTGAAAAAATTATATCGCTGGTCATTAAGTCCTAATTTTTCACAAATATCTGTAATTTCAATTTAAGTTTCAACTTTACGTCATTCATATTTAAACATGTGACTAGCGAAAATCAAGTATTTTACAAATCATATAATTTACAAGTGGTGCGCTGCAATTAAATCAGCGGTTATCCAATCCGAACTACTACAAGTAAAGTTGTTGTACGCTGTAGAACAACAATTATATCAAAAAAAAATTTTGAATGAGCTAAGCAACTCAACAATTTGAGAAACGAAACCCTAAGTGGGTTTGAGTTATTTGACTTGTTTGAGAGTTTGATGACCTTAACATCGGAGATACATCGAGCCGGTAGCTATGGTCAAGAGTCAAAACATTTCGAAATCAGTAGAAAAGATCGGATGCGGCCGAGGAACTGATTCAGTCTTAGAAAGCTTCACCAAATATCTCAATTTGAAAAACATGAAAACACTATATGCTATTGTAGGTCAAACTGATGTTTCAAAAGAAGGAGCGAACTGGGACAATTTATCAACAATGCAAATGTAGTATTAGTAGAACAACTACCGACTTCCTCCTCGTGATAGCTCTGTTTGTTATACTACGATATGTTCTGTATAATTAACTTAACTGTTGTGATGGTGCCCAGCAATCATATGAACATGCGCTGCAATTTGCAACGTGACTTCTTGCAGGTAAATCGTAGCTTAATAGGCGCTAGATACATGCGCTCTTGCAACTCTATACAAATAACCTTCTGGTTAGGCTTCGGATGGTTGACTTAAGAAAAGAAATATCCCGAATAAAGAGTTACTTTTGATCTTTTGACTATGCCAGTCTGGATAAAAATAAATAACAAAAAAATTATATATGAGAAGCTGCTGTTAATAAATCCCAACTTTTTTAGCCACCGATTGAGGTGCTCTACTCATGATCGAAAGCTGGAGGAATATATTGGGGAATGATGGAAGTGTTCTTCAGCAATTGAAAGTTTTTACTTGTGAAAAAATTGCGCCATAAAATCTTTGAGCTACCGGGAATTTCAGTGTGGAATTAGTTTTGGATTGAGTTTTGAAGGACCGTATGAACTACACTGTTATGTCCAGAATATTCCATTTGCGCTCACAAATTTTGAGGTAAACTTGAAGCAATTGCGGTCGGATGAAAATAAAATGCTCGACTGGACAAATAAACCTTAAACCCCGTTCAAACGGACCAGATAAAGCAGACTCTAACACTGAAGCTCATTTGTGTTTTTTGGCGCTTAAACTTACCTTCTGTTGTTGAAAGAAACTTTTTCCGAAAAAATCTATGCATTTTCGAGCCAGTTTACACAAGGACAATAGATGTAAAAGAGCATATATAAAAGTTCAAAAAAAATTCTACACAAGTATAGTTCGTTCAGCTTACTGGGAAAAACGGAGAACCCAAAAAAAACTAAAAACTTGAATGCTATCTCACATGAAAAATGATATTAAGGTTGAAGCGACTATGTGCGAGATCC